CTCACCCCCTTCACTGCTTGCACTAGCTTCGTTGCCCGACCTCTGCGTTTTTAGGAATTAATTCTTTTAAATTAGTTTTATTTTATCTCAAAGTTCTGGGACAGGTCAGGCTGCATGTGCTTTTCTTGCTGGCCAGTGGTGTCCACTGGGGTCTGCCCCACGAAGGTCAGGACACCCAGGAAAGTGCCGGAGCCACGTGCGGTTTCGACTTTTCCTTTGAAAGGAACAGGACACGGCAGGAGTCGAGTCCATCAGATTATCAGAGCTAATTCTTTCAATACAATTTCATACTATTCTTAAACGTTACATATCACCCCGCTGCATCTGCCCACAGGGTCCACGCTGAGTGAATAACCATCGGCCTTCCCTCCTTCCCCCTCCTTCCCACACTGACCTCAGAGCTGGGACCAGGTGGTGGCCCCTGAGAAGGGATCGGGGCCAGTGTGTGTTATTTCCCCGCAGAAACCCTCCTGCACACACCGCCATGTGAGAGCAGCGTGCATCGTGGTGACGCAGACCCCGAGGACAACCGTGAATACCGGACAGAAAGCATGAAGCACTCGTGTGCGGGAACGGGCGACAGCAAACATGGGCAGCCCAGAAGGAGGCCCCGTGTGTGCTGCACGCTCACCCCAGGAGTCTTCCTGAAGACGCTCACAGACCGCGGCAGGACGCGGTGCACGAGACGACATTCTCACTGGGCCAAGGAGGCAGAAGTCAGAGTTTGGAGTCCTTCGGAGTTCGCTGCTTAGGGAGCCAAGCCCCGGAGAACGGAAAGCGGCAGAGAAGGAGGCCAGAATTCCGCACACACGTCCTCCAAGCTGGACTCCCGAGCTGAGTGTGCACAGGGCAAGAAAGAGACGAAAAGGGCGGGAGTCAGCGGGCAGCGGGGAGCTGAGCGGAGGTGCCCGGCCCACGGTCGGGGCGGCAGAGCCCGATTCCCTTCCTGCACAGGCGGCTCGGCGGTTGTGCCAGGGTCCACGCTGAAACTTCGGAAGGGCCGCACCTGGGGAGCCAGCGCCGTGCTGGGGGCGGGGGGGGCGCGGGACTCCGGGGAGCGGGACGGGGAGCCGCCGGAACAAGCGAAGAACCCAGTTCTCACAGGGTCTCGACGCTCGCGCCACACACGGAGATGCACTCACTGTGGGTCAGAGGCCTGAGGTGGAGGGTTACGCGAACTGACTTCCGGAAGAAAACGCGGGACCTCGGGGTAGGTCGCGGTCTCCAAAACCCGACGCAAGGGGGTGCTGGTGAGCTGAACTCAATTAAACTAAGAACCGTGGTTTAACAAACAACTGGGTAAGAGAATGGCAGCGTCTACCCTTAGACGTGTACGCACTCACACACACTCACACACACCCTGACAAAGGCTTGTGTGTAGAATCTATATCTTTAATTCTACAAATTGAAAGGAAAAAGACAACACAATGTTTAAGACTGGGGGAGAATTCTGAGCAGGCGCGTCACAGGAGAAGACTTCGACAGGGTCGATGCGCCGGTGAAAAGGCTCCGCCTGGCTGCTCACGAGGGGAGCTCGCGCTTCACAGCACATCTTGACGCCATCTGCTGCTTACAGTCCAGAAACGCCAGTGTGTCTCCTGGAACGAGCGCTCGCAAAGCCGCAGCTCTGACTGTGAACACAGCCGGTGTCAACAATTAGAAGCAGCTTTAACTCAGAGAGCGAGGCTTCCGTCGAAGACGCTCACCTCTCAGCCAAGTGACTTTAATTCCCCGTGGTAGCAAGTGTCCACTGAGCATCTCCCGAGGGCAGAGCAGAACGTGAACCTGAGCCCAAGTCTCGTGGCTGCAAGTCCGTCTGTCGCCCCCCACTCTGCACTGCCAGGTGAACGGCCAGGTCCCGCTGAGACCCCCGCAACACTGGACACTTGTGTGGCAGAGCCCGGGACGTGTGGGGAGCAAGGTTCAGGCCGGCACATTTTCGTACCGGGGGTTGCCAGCCAGCGCCCCGCCATAGAAACCTGAGTGCGGCCACGGAGAAGTGGGACCTCGCTGTCCCGTCAGAGCCAGTGTCCGTCCATCACAGCGGGTGCGCAACCCAGCCCGCCCTCAGCCGCCGTGGCTGCACGGAGGAGAGGCAGGGCGGCCCATTGGGAGAAACATCAGGGTTTTGTTCTCTTTTGCTCTGTTGTCAGGGTTGGAAGTGTGAGCACAGACGCAGGCGTGGGGCAGGGATCTCGAGGGAGGAAAAGGACGGAGCTGCGAAAAGATGGGAAAGTCGCCGGAAACAGCCGCGGTGAGTGTGGGTGAGGACTGCCGTGTGCGAGGCGTCGCTCCAGACCTTGACGGTTGAAATCGACCGTGCGAGGGAGAGGCGGGGAGGACCGGGCCCCGCAGACCAGGGCAGGAGGGCACCGCTTGGACAGGCCGCCACGGGACTGGGCTCGACCCCGGCTCCAGAGCCCAGGCCCCCGATGGGCGGGCCGACCCGCTCCTGGGGCCACTCTGTGCGTGACAGGATGGCGAGCGGGAGCCCGGGGCCCTCGGGGAGAAAAGGCCCTTCCTTCCCAGCAGCGGGGACGAGGAGGGACTGGGGCGGGGAGGAGAGATTCGGACTTGGCTCTGCACTTTGCTTTGGTTGTACACTGACCGACACGAACTCTCCGAGAAACCAGGTGCGGTCCACACCGCATGCAGACGGGGACCGAGGTGCCAAACGTTCTGTCACAGCTCAGGTCAAAGCGCCCCCGAGGCGCCGGGAGCTCGTGACCTCCCGGCTCTATCTGATGCTTTTCTCACCTGCACCGCACCCGCCTTTTACAGACACGGAACTGCCTGCGTTTTAGTTTGGTTTCGGTGCCGACGGAGTGGGCCCGGGAAGGGAACAGTCGTGCAGAGTCTTCCCCTCCTCAGAGAGCTCCTCCTCCCCTGTGTTACTTTCGTGAAGCCGCTGGGCCAAATCAGCCGGACACGGACGTGGCGGCCGAGCACCAGAAGTGTGTTCTCGCAGCTCTGGAGGGCGGGGGCTCGTAGTCAAGGCCGGGCCGGGCTCTGTCCCTCCAAAGGCCCCAGGGGATGGCCAGTTCCTGCCTCGTGCAGCGGCCAGCGGCTCCGGGGGTGCCATGGCTTGTGGCCACATGCCTTCAATCTCGGGTCCCATGTGTCTCTTACAAGGACATTTGTCATTGGACTCGGAGCCCGCTCAGACAATCCAGGCGATTTCAGCTCCAGATCCTTCTATGCGAAGAGCCCAAATCCGGTCACAGCCACAGGTTCTGAAGACCAGGGTGTGGACACAGCTGTTTCAGGGGCTGCCCCGGGCCCACTGCGCCCCACCGGGGCCCTTCCCTGTCTCGTCTCCCAGAGATCGCTGGCCCGCACTGCCTGGCGCCCGAAAACCACTGTTCCAGGTCTTCTGCCCAGTCTCCTAGCGGTCTGGGCAGGAGGGTGAGTCCAGTCCCTGCCGCCCCACGGCCAGCGCAGACCTGGCCACCAGGCAAGGGAATGGAGAGTGAGCCCGTTCGCCGCCTCGCTCCGGCTGCCCCGCCCCTCCCCGCAGAAACGGAGGGAGCGCGCGGCCCTTCCCGGGCAACTGATGAATCCGCCAACAGCGAATGAAGGGGAGGTTCGCCGAACCCTGTTTGGAGCAGAGTGGCCACACCCTTTTTCCTGTGACCTTGGGCACCTGTCCTCAGCGAGCGTCTGCCCGCGAAAGTCTCTCCGTCCCAACAGCTCATGCCCCTTGGTTCGCCTGCCACGGCCAAAAGCCCCACACTGGGAAACCACCGAGGCTTTCCCACGGCGTGCACTCTGGGTGATCATCTGTGAGAAGCAGGTCCTGTGTGTGTTTTAGGTAAAAAGAACTCAGGGCGTGGTGAGGAGGGGCTGCTGGGGGAGGTGACGAACTTGGACTCGTCACCACGTGTGAGGGGAAGAAAGGGGCAGACGACAGAGGCACGAGGCTTCCCTGACAAAGGACGCCAGCCTGCGTGGAAGCGAAGGGGCTGCCGGCGAGGGGGGTGGTCCCCGCGCTCATTTCCATACTCGTGAGATAATTAAGTTCTGAAGAAAACAGTCGCCGCCCTTACCAACCAGCCGCGTTTGCGAGAACATCTGTTACGCGGCTGTCTGACCCAGAGGTCTGGCTGGGCCTTGAGTGCAGAGCTTTGTTTGTTTGTTTTGAATGTATTTTCTCAGATTTCCACTTGTAAATATAGAACAGCGGACACCTGTTACGGGGAGCCCAGCAGGGCGAAGGCAGATGAAGAGCAGCGTGGAAACCCCACTTCCTCCGCGGTCCCTGTGGTGGCCCACAGCATCTGTGCCTCCCTCGGTGTCCTACAGCCTGCCTGCCTGCGTGTGGGTGCTTGCAGCTTTATAAACTGTGAACAACTAACGGACACCCCCTGCCTTTTGAACCACAGGTCAGAGGCATTGCACCATAGACACACGGAGACCGGGCTCAGGCTGTGTCGTCCACCTTGAATTTACTGCCACGTGTCCAGCTGCTCTCAAGCGACCGATGTGGAGCTGGTTTTCAGGGGGTGTCGCCGCCCGTGTGCTGCGCTGCAGATGCCGGGGACAGCGGTGGCTTTAACTCTGTCCTGTGGGTGCTCCAGCCTTCCAGCCGCCACCCCTCCCCCCTCCCTGTCATGCGGAGAAGGAGCCCCAGGGAGGCTGCAGAGAGCCCCCTGATGCAGCCCCACCTCCCGCTCCCCCGAGCCTGCGTGGCTCACAGTCCCCGGCGCAGCTCTCCCCTCGCCGAGCGCACGGCCGAGCCCCAGCTGCACCGCCCACCACACACGCTCCGCCTGCCTCGTACGCCTCACTCGCCCACTGAGGTCTGTGTGTTCAGCGACAGTCCAGCTGCCGGAGCCGCATGACGCCCGGTGTGTGCCTGGCCTGCCCCCACCAATCCTGCTTTTTAGGGATCGCGCTCGTCTGTATTCTGTTCAGGGGCAGAGGGTGTGTAACACTCACACACACGGGCTGATGAATGAGGCTGTGGAGTGACCCTCTTCCTGGCGGGCGTCTGCCAGAGTGACACCTCCCTGCTGCCATCGTTCACCATGACAACAGCTGCAGCTGGAGCTCGGGTTTGGCCCTCGGCCGGAGGTCCTGGTGGAGGTGCCGGCTCAGGCTGCTGCGTGGGCTGGACCTGCGTGGGCTGGACCGTGTGAGGTGGCATTCCTCCTCTCCAGACCCCGGGGAGCCGTCTGCCTTCCTGACGGCGGCGGCCGAGTCCGGCACCATGGACTTCCGAGCTCCGTCTGCGCTGGAGCGGCAGGAAGGTGAGGGCTGCTCTGACAGGGCCTCTGGTCTCGCCGCGCTGGTCTCACTGCGGCTGCCTGCCTGTGTGTGTGTCTGTGTGTGTGTGTGCGCGCGCATGAGATGTGGGGAGAGGGTTCTAAACAAGCTGTGGGCCTGTTTGTCTGGTGAGGGTGCTCTAACCTACCAGTTTTTAAAATCGGGTTTTTCAGAGTGTCATCTTCATTCTATTCGGTTTTTTTTTCAGATATTTAAAAATCCATTAGAGAAAGTAATGTAAACAAGAGCAGGCTCTGTGCCCCCTTTCATCTCTTCAGGCGGCATCTCCCTGCATCGTTTTGTAAACAGCCCTGGATTTCCTGCAGGAGCAGGCGCCGCCAACGTCCCCTCCTCGGAGGCCGTGTGGTGACTCGTCCCCACGCTGTCATGTGCAGTCACGGCGCCCGGCGCAGGGCTGGGGCTCCGCGTGGAAGGGCTGCGTGACACTGCCCATCCTCGCGTAAAAGCGCGTGTTGGCCGTGCAGCCTGTGTGCATGCGTCTTGCACCCGAGTGTGTATATGTCGTGCACGTAACCCTGCGTGTCACTGAGCCGCTTCCTAAATGTGCACAGGGACCCCTGTGCTGTGAGGGCAGCGGACCACTTCCTCTGCCCTCCGAGTGTCCTTCTGGGCCCTGAGGTCCTGCAGTCTTCACGTGTTTTGGCCACGACAGACTCACTGAGAAAATTCACGGCTTCTCTCTTTTTCCCTTTTCCCTCGAGACCACGGTGTGTTCACTGCGCTGGCAGCCTCCTCTGGCTTCCGGGGCATTTTCTCATACAGCAGATTTACATTTAGCTCTCTGGGGGACCACGTAAACGCGTGCATACGCAGTTTGATCTCCAGGGCTTCCTTTGTGTTGAACACGCCTGTGCACAGCCGTGTGTGCGTGCCCTCAGCCTGCGCCGGGCCCCTGCAGAACGGGGGTGTCGCAGCTGCGCCCCCGCCTCCCCCCGCTGCCTGTGGGGTCACTGCCGGCAATCAGCAGCAGCGACAAGGTGCCCACGAGGTGATCTGGGCCCTCGTTCTGGCCAGAGAGGGCGCCACTGAGAGGGTCCCATGAGGGCCCAATGGATGGTTTTCCTCTGAGACGGACCGGGGCACCGCTGTGACTGTGGGCACCAGCCCTTCGCGGTGAGGCCGTCAGTTGTAGGGTGTCCCCCCCGCCAGCACTCGGCCCGGTGCAGGTGGTGACGGTCACCTTGTTTTTACGGCTCCCTTCACACCAGCAGTTCGCCGAGTCCCTCCCGTGCCAGCTTGCCTCTCCCAGACGCCTCTGCCTCCGTTCCTCAGCCCTCGCCCCCTGGAGGGGCTGTGCTGTGGCGGCAGGGGCGTGGGCCGCCTGGGCTGCAGGGCAGGCCATCCTCTCCCCGGCCGTGGGGGCCTGGCCGGTCCCCTGGCCCCTCTGGGCCTTGGCCTCCGCAGCCTGAAACGGAGAGGACACTGCGGGCCCGGGAGGGGGGTTGCGCGGATCTAAGCCGATGCAGAGACGCGCCTGCCGTGGGCCCCACACTGTGGCCGCCTGGGCGGTTTCCGCCCTGACCGCGCAGCGGGGGCTCCGCTGCCCTCGGAGCGAGTGCGGCCTCGGTCGGTGCTGGCCGACCGGCTCACGTTCCTTATCTTTTCAGCACTTGGGGACACGGCCCCGAGTAGCCCCCAGAACAACAGTTACCTAACTGAGTGTGCGTGGGTGGCTGTGCCTTCTCACGCCTCCTCTCCCTTCCTGACAGTGGGAAAGGCCCTGCCAGGTGAGGCCGTCCTGCAGCCACGATCACCTGGGTGGGCGAGCCCCGTGGCTTCCGTGGCAGAGCTGAGTGTGGGCCTTTGGAGGAGAGTTTTCCATGAACCCCGAACATCTGGGGCATGGAGACCGCAGCGTCCCCCCGCTGCCCGGGCCAATGTCGGCCGAAGACACTGCACCAGGGACAGTCAGAGACGCCGTGTAAGCCAAGGGCTCTCACATGGGCCCCGTCAGGCTCACCCGGACGTGTCTGACCCTGCTGGAGTCTGGGGCTCCCCCTACACATCGCCCTGTCCTCGGGCGGGGGCTGGCCTGGCCAGGCAGAGCAGGGGGACCAGCGAGCAGCCCACCCTGACGTCTCTGGTGGGGAGCGTGGGGTGCAGAGCAGTGAAAGGTGGGCCTTTACTGGGGTAACAGCTCAGTAGCGGAGCAGGCTGAGGCCCCGGAGTTCCCGGCTGGCGGGAGGTGGAGCCAGAGGGAACTTCTTTTTGCCACAGTCTCCAGCCCCGCAGCCCCGGCCTGGGGCAGGGGTGGGGGCCCACTGCCAGCTCTGGCTCGGGGCCCCCAGGTAACGGCCATCGGTGCGCTCGAAGAGCAGGACAGCTAATGACAGGCAGAGCCCCGACGAGGGGGAGCTGGTGAGTCCGAACCGTCTGCAAAGGCAGCTGCATTCCCTGCGCTTGGTCAGGGTGGTGAGGCCGCTCTGTGCCTGAGGCTGCTGAGCAGACCAGCCCGGCCGCAGCCCCGCCCGTCGCCTGCGCAGCCGCGTGGACTCAAGCAAGTGACCGGTCTCCGCATCTGTAACATGGGGACGACCGCAGCTGTTGGCGGGGTTGCTGGGGACTTAAAGTTCCGCTTCCAACTGGTGGGGGGCAGGGGGTGTCACTCTCTGATCTTGGTGAAATGGAGACAGAGGAGCCTGGGCCTGGGAGACCTGCCCTTGGCTTGCGCCAGGCCGTTGCCATAGCAACCCCTCTCCTGGCCCCGCGTGCAGGAGGGGACTGTGGTGGAGCCGTCGTCACGGAACACGCGGGTTCCCGCTGAGGCTGAGATGTCTGCGTCTCACCCTGCCTCCAGTGGGGGGGCCAGCTCTGCGCTGCCTGGAGGAGGACCCGGGCCTCCGGCCCCCGCCCTGCCCAGTGTCCCCGAGACAGGTTTGCTGAGCAGTGAGCTTGCAAGCACCCTCGGGGGTGGGGCGGGGGCCACGGGCCTCCCTCACAGGACTTTCTCTGCGAGGGTTGTGGGGAGAACTCGGGGAGGGCCCCGGCCAGCCCGGCTGGGCAGAGCTTTAGAGTCCTGGATGCCCAACACACGGCCACCACGGGCGCTGTCACCTGCGTCTTCACGGTCGCAGAGGCCCGCGCGTGGGATCCGGGGGTCGGCAGGGCGGCGCTCCTGGGTGCTGCAGGAGAGAGACCTCTGGCTCCTCCCGCTCCCGGCTGCCTCTGCCCCCCCACCTCTGCCTCTGTCTTCACGGGGCCTTCTCTGGGGGTCTGTCTGAACCCCCTCCTGTCTCTTATAAGGATCCATGTGATTACATTTAGGGTCACCCAAATAATCCAGGGCAAACTACTGCCCTCGAGATTCTTGACTCCACCCCGATAAGTTCAGTGTAAAGGAAGAACTGAGACCCTCAAATGTATCGCTTCCCTTGCTGTGGAAGGCGAGTTCCCGGGTTCTGGAAACCGGGGCACGGGTGTGTGTTCAGGGCCCGCGGCACCGCATGAGAAGAGGCCAGATCGCAAGTTCTTTCCAGAAAGCACGCAGCCCGGGACTTGGGTTCTGGTGAAACCCTCTCTCATGGGAGCCAGGAGGAGCTGGGGCAGACGGGGCGCGTGTGGGCACACTGTGCGCACCCTCAGCGTGGATCCAGAGCCCGAGGCAGAGCCCGGCCGTAGGCAGAGCAGCCTTTGATTCTCACACCGGCCCCACCTTCACCCCCCTTTTGACCGATGAGGAAACTCGCAAAGGTCATGACTTGCCCAAGGTCACCGGGAAACAAAATGGCAAAGTGGCGATCGGAGCCTAAACCTGCTTGTTTTCCGGGATCGACCCTGCGTTTTCCTGAAGAAGTGAGACGTCAGCGCACACTCAGGTTGGTGGCGTCTTCCCGCCGTCTGTGCAGCGCGCTGGCGGCCTCCACAGCCCCCACGCGCTGACGGGCTGAGACCGGGGTGCTCCGCAGGGAGCGCCCAGAGGGCACAGACGTGTGCTGAAGACGCAGGAGTTAGACGCCTGCGTGCCCGCCAGGTGCCTCCGACGGGAGGGTGGGCAGATTCGGAGAGGGGCGTGGGAGCAGAGCAGGTGGGCCAGGACGCAGGGGGGTGTCATCCGGCCTCCGAGGGTGGTTTCCAGTTCGCAGACCTTCCTGCGGGGAAGCGAACGCAGGGCGCGGGGGAGGGTCTGTGGTCAACTGTCAGGGTGGTGTCCAGACAGAGGAAGAGTCGCGGGCAAGGCAGGGACCCGCAGGTCTAGACGCGGTCGTCTGCAGCCCCGCCCTCTCTCAGTGGGTCACGAAGGAGGAGGGGAGGGGGCGAGAGGTGGGGGATTCTCTGCCCAGGTCTTTGGACAAACCGGTCGCTGGGAGCCCGCCCCCCTTTCCCTGCCGCCCCTCTGTGCTGCCCTTCCCACAGCGCAGAGCACAGGCCGCTCCCTCCCACCAACCGGCCCCACCGTGACCCCCCTGGTGACCCCGGCTGCAGGGAAGCCCACAGTTACCCATCTGTAGCCTTGGCCTCCAGAATGGACCCTGACGTGTGTCCGGCCGCACAGCCAGGTCCACCCGACTCAGCCCTCGTCCCAAAGCCAGGTCAGCGGTCCCCAGCCTTTCTGGCCCCAGGGTCAGGTCTCCTGGAAGACAGTTCTACCACAGACCAGTGGGGAAGGGGGTGGGGGCAGGGGAGAGAGGCGGGAGGCGGAACTCAGGCCACAGTTCCAGCAGAGCTTTGCTCACTCCCCTCAGCTCACCTCCTGCTGTGCGGCCCGGACCAGGGCCCGGGTTGGGGACCCTGCGCTGGGCCACCCTGGGCTCCCCATGCCATCTCTGCGCAGGAACGCCAGGACGCTGCGGAGGTTGTGCAGCAGCTGTATAAGGTCACTGGCATCCGTGGAGTTCCCTGTGATGCGACTGTTTGGACACAAAGATACTTTGAAGAAATGCTGCTAAATCTCTAGCTGTTCTTATTGCTCAGCAGCGACATAACAGGCTCTGGGACAAGGTGAGGGTGTCGATGCTCCGAGGTC